GTTTGTCACTTGCTTGCCTGGATGGACTTCAAAAAAATTAGCAATGGGTTCTCTGCCCGGTTACCGAGTGGGCGTGGTCATGGTGGGCGTGGCCTAGTCGGTGTCCTGCATCACGGTGGGGCAGGGGTTGTTTTCACCCTTCCCGGACTCCTGAGGCTTTCCTTGAGACTCCGGGAGGGCGAAAACGGCCTCCCCCAGGCGCCGGAGGCTCTCTGGAAGCTGGAAATGGACCCATTTCCAGCCTTCCCAAACTCCTGGGAGGCCCATTCTTCACCCTCCCTGAGCCTCCGGTCTTGCCCCACACTTACCTGGTATCCAAAATGGGCTGCCTGGAGGGTCCTGAGAGGGGTGGGGCAGGGCGGGGCAGGCGAGGCCAGCTAGTCCTTGCAACTACCGGTTCGGCAAACCAGATGTAAAGTTAACAGCCAGTTCACCCAAACCGGTGTGAACCGGTATCAGCCCCACTCCCTGATGCCCATCGTCACATGATCACAGTCTGCAACCTTCCCCAGACAGTTTCTGAGAAGCAGGCGAGTGGGGAAATCCAAATTGGCTTAAGGACCGTGTGGCAAAAGGTCGTAAAATGGAGCTCACTTAGTAACTGCCTTGCTCAGCAGCGGAAGTTAAGGCTCAAAAGTGGTTGAAAACTACCTATACAGGTTAAAAAAACAACAACTCTTGTCTATGAATATAAAATACTTAACATTGAATAATATTTTTAAAAAAAGAATTTGTGAATTGACCTATGAACAGCAATTCTCAGGGAAAAAGAAGTATTAATTCGCGCGGAAGGCTCACTGTGTTTGCATAAAGGCACCAGTTATGAGGTGTTGAAATTGTATGCGTCATTTTCAGACTGTATTCGGGATTTGGAACATGCCCTGAAGTTCAACATCTCAAACATCAAACTTCACGATTTCCTGTGGTCTCCTGTCCTTTCCTTACAGCTGGGTAAGATTGTTCCCTACTGTCAGTGCTCATCTCCATTTCAAAGTCGAAGAAGAGCCAGCGCTGTCCGAAGACGTCTCCGCGGTCACATGGCCGGCATGACTAAACACTGAAGGCGCATGGAAGGCTGTTCCTTTCCCACCAAAGGGATCCCTATTTTTCCACTTGCATTTTTTATCTGCTTTCAAACTGCCAGGTTGGCAGAAGCTGGGACAAGTTTAACGGGAGCTCACTCCATGACGCGGCGCTGGGGATTCGAACCGCCAACCTTTTTTTTTCTTTTTTGTATTTTTTATTTTATTTTTAACAACAATCAAACAAACACAAACACAAACACAAAATATAAAACCTTCTTTCAGTTACAGAGTATCTAATATACACACTGGTAATATTTGTGTAATATACACACGTGTAATATTTCTGCTGCACAATGTCAATCGTCTTTCCCTCTTAGATTTAAATTTATATTAATCTTATATTGATCAACTTTCCACATCATGTTATATTAGTATGACATCATCATTAGGCTTTAATTGCAAATTCACATTATCTTTTTCGAGCAGATCTCAATTTTTCAAAATTCGAATTCATATTATAATTCCTTCCACAATATTCAATTATAACCTGTCATTATTGTTGTATTATATTTACCGCTATTATATTTATATTCTATTTCATTTTCCTATTTTCCTATCTAACCGTTGATAGAATAAATCCCACATTTTATAGTATTCTTTTTTCTTCTTGCTCTCTAATTACCAGATGAACTGCCGACCTCTCTGATCGACAAGCTCAGTGTTTTTAGCCACTGAGCTACACGTCCCATTTTTAAATTTTAAAGCACCCCCCTGCTTTGGCGGGACGGGTCCCAAAAACCAGTTTGCTAGCTGACCAGCTGGTTAGCCATCCTGCTAATGAGTCCCTCTGTAGCAGATGCTAAACACATCAGGAAAAGTAAACTTTTATAAATATTCCCCTTGGCTCTGATTTGGCGGTTTTTGTGCTGAGCAATTTTTTTCTTTTCCCGGAGTTTGATCACGGTGGATGATCAAAGCAGGAACATGTCCTGGCTTGTTCTTTCGCTCACAAATTAATGCCTTGGTCAAGTTAGTCCCTTTGTCATTTGCAAAGACACGCTGCCCAACAGAGGAGAAAATTAAAAACCAAAACCGAATGGCATTTTCACATCTGGTTCCTCATCTTTCTTTCTAAACCCTGCTTAGAAATTACGGATTTATTTTAACGTCTTTCAGGCAGGAGACAGGATACGAAGCCAATGCAGAGGTTTTAATGTAGACTGTGGAGATTACCAAACACCTCCTCGCAGGGTTGTTGTTAGGAGGAAGAGTGAGGAGGAAGATGCATTGGGTAGGGTCACTACCATGGGTTGTTTGTAAAAATAATAAAAAGGAGGGATGCAAATCTATCTATCTATTTATTTATCTATCTAATCTTCTATCTGTATCTATATCTTCTTCTGTATCTTCTATATATCTATGTAAAATCAAAATACCCCTCACACATCATCACAAAATCTCCAGAACTATAAAGCCTACAAACTTGAAATTTGGCACGTATGTTCCTCTTGCCTCTAGGTGCTCACTAAGAAAGGATTTTTTGAAATGACCATCAGAGCATTTAGAGTATTTCCTATATTATTATTATTAACACGCTCTGATGCTAAGGAGTTCTACTCCCCCTCCCCACCTGAGAAGAAATCTATTTCAAATACAAAACACAAGCAGAGCAGAGGAGTTTCAGTTTTGGTTTCACAGCAGCAACCAGCTTTAGTACAGAACAGTTGAGCTAAGCCACACCCAGGCTCCTTGCTGTCGTCTCCTTGCTTACACAGCAAATACTGTTTCAATTTCCAAACAGCCCTCAACTCTCTTTCACACTGACAGGGCGCTAGCCAGATGAATACCAGCGGATGCTGGTAGGCAGAGGCAGAATCCCCCCCTCCTTATTTTCCTCCCCCAAAACTAAGCCCGACCACATAGTTTTGTAGCGAAGCACAGGGATCGAGCAAGCAAATAAATAAACTGGATCAGGCTGTCTAGCCTCCTGCGTCTTTTCTTTTTTTTTAAAGAAGTGGGATAAACAATGAAAAAACAAGGAGGATTATACAAAACTCCTGCATCCCATAACGCTGCTGTCAAGATGATAATACATGCTCTTCCAATGAAGCATTAATTGTAAATCTCAAAGGGAAAAATCTCCTTGGTGCTGAATCTTCCATCTACTTCATTTATTTATTCATTTATTTATTTTTGTTCAATTGCTTACAAGAATAATAGGTATACTTCATATCTTCGATCACCGTTGAGGAAAAGGGACGGCTTTTCAGAGAGGGGGTAACTTGTAAAGTCATTTTTCCAGAATTATTTTCTTTTCAGTTATTTTCTTTAAAAACAAAAACAAAACCAAGGACCCCCATCAAACAGATGCTGAACACGGCGGTTTTTCTGCATCGTGGTATCTCTAACTTTGGACAACTCCACTCAAGAATTTGGTAAGTGGATTTCTGCCCTGTCCGTTGTGACCATCCAAAAAACTTTTCCGAGTTGGCTTTGGAAAAAGAGAACCAACTATTTCATTATTATTACTATTATTACTACTATTACTATTATTATTATTAAAATCCAAATCATTGTAAATGCCTCACTTGACTTGAGAAAGCTGCTTGATTTCAAACCATATTTGAAAGTCGAGGCATGCTTATCTTCACCGCTTGCTAGAAAAACAGTTTGAAATGTTGAAGGCTTTGATGTAGTTGAGAAAAATGACTTCCCCTTATAATTCAGTTTTGCAAATCTCTCTTCCAATCCATCCACATGTCTCTGTGAAAAGAAAAAAAACAGGTTAGAAAAGGGTAGAACAGCAATGGGTCACTCACGGTGTTTTATAGCCAGAGAATGACAGAAAGAGAGAGAGAGATGAGAGAGAGAGAGACAGAGACAAAGACAGAGACAGAGAGACAGAGAGAAATGGGAGAGAGAAAGAATGAGAGAGAGAGATGAGAGAGAGAGGATGTGTGTGTGTGTGTGTGTGTGTGTGTGTGTGTGTGTGTGTGTGAAAGAGAGAGAGAGAGAGAGAGAGAGGTAGTCTCTCCAGGTAGTCCTCGACATATGACCACAACTGAGCCCAAATTTCTGTTGTTGTGAGACCCCATTTTTGCTCCATTTTATAAACTTTAGATAGATAGATAGATAGATAGATAGATAGATAGATAGAGGTAGAGATAGATAGATAGATATAGATGATAGATAGATAGAGATAGAGATATAGTTAGATAGATAGATAGATAGAGATAGACATAGATAGATAGATAGATAGATAGATAGATAGATAGATAGATAGATA